ACAAAGGAAATTCTCAGACAATGAGTTTGCTAAATTCTAAGTTATGCCGTGACGGTGCATCAGTGATGAAGATGCGGCAGCTCTAAAATATGTGTGTTCCAGCTCCGAGGCCTGCAGAAGGTTTCTAATATATCTGATCATGAGTGTCTCCTTTTATCATTTTTAAACTTTTTAATGGCAATACAATAATAATAATAAAAAAATCCATGGCACTTTCAGAACTATCTTTAACTTAGCTTCCAAATGTAACTACAGTTACAGAAGCGCTAGGTCTTACAAATTCAAAATCCTTTTTTTTTTTTTTTAGCTTTTTATTGATTTTAGCCATTCTTACAAGTTACCTTGCTCATCGAGAACAACTACTCAAACCAGTACACAACACACAGAACTTGCCCGTATAATTTGATCTAACCCAAACCAGCACTCCAGTTGGTCTTTCTAATGTGGTTTCTATTCATCGAGCAGTGACATCGTGGCCTTTCCATCCTTTTTTTGTTGTTGTTTTTAATAAAAAGGTGCACAAAGTGACTCTTGGTGCCATGAAAAAGAAACCAATTCCCATAAGTAAGTTTTCATTAGGGCAAATAAAGTGCTGTGAATAAACACATACGATGTAACGTGGCAACATGTTATGAAAGAGCTGGGGAAAATGCATGTCTGCTTCAAGGAAAAGTATGTGGGTTTCCTCAGAGCAGGGTTTCATGGCGTAAATGGAAAGAAAATATATAATATATAGATTGGGGAGTTAAAAAAAATCTGTTATTCAAAATGGCAAATATTTAAATTCAAACTCTGACTTGTAGTCTATGGAATTTTTATTATATATGAACTTAGTTTAATTTTTAACCCATCTTTTTAACTAAACATCTATACCCACTATGCAAAAAGGGAAAGTTTGCAAGGCTTACTCTTTTTAAAGTCTTCATAAAGTTTTAAAATTGACTGTGAAGTGTGTTAGAGATCCTCAAAAATCTGAATAAATAAAAGAAAAATAATTTGGAAACTTTTGAAAATAAGTCGTGCTGCTAAAATTAGATATCTAAGTCTCTCACTGTTTGTTCTGAATTTCAGTGTTTAAATATATATTTATGCATAAAAGTAAAACATTTTCCATGTTTTTTTAAATATAAGGGACAGTACCTTGTGGAATCTGTTGAAAGTGTTAATATTTCTATCCTTTGGTGATAATTTTTTCTGGAAAGTTTCACGTGTACAGGATTTCACTACAAGAAGTTAATAATAACGATAAAAAATTCCTTCTCCCATATTAAAAATAGAATGCTATGGCATTTTTCTGATGTGGCTAGTGTGTGTTGTAACTAAGGTTGAGAAAAATGGTGCATCCTTCTCGATAACTAAATCCTACCTATCTGCTACAGTAGCTCTCCAGCTTGTTTTTTAGAATCAGAAAGTTTTGGTTGGAAGGGACCTTTAAAGGTCACCCAGTCCAACCCCCTGCAACGGGCAGGGACATCTCCAACCAGATCAGGTTGCTCAGAGCCCCGTCCAACCTGACCTTGAATGTTTCCAGGGATGGGGCAGCTACCACCTCTCTGGGCAACCTGTGCCAGTGTCTCACCACCCTCATCGTAAAAAATTTCATTCTTGTATCTAGTCTTTTAAGCCTATGTCTGCTCCTGCCCAAGCTCTGCTATTCCATAACCAGCCCCTCTGAGGTTGTATCTTCTGAAATTTAGTCAGGGATTTAAAAAACTCTGATGATCTTTGTGGGAGTAGATACTGGCTCCAAATAAAACACTGGAGCACTTGTTTTTTTTCTAGGTTATAGATTTCTGGATGGTGATGTAGAAGTCCTGTAAGCTCTTGTTGTTTATAAATGACCGAGATCTGGGCAGGTACTGGAGGGAGAGATGACTGTCTGGAAGGTGGCAGAAAAGAAGAATTAACGGGAGTCTGGAAGAGGAAAAATAGTGCTGGAGCACAAATGTTCTGGAGAAAATCTAAACACAAAAAATGTGCTAACTAGACATTGTCTTTCTCCAGCATGCTTTTGGGAAATGCACATGAACAGGTTTAGAAGATTTTGTGGTGTTATTAGTTTATTTTCAGGTCATTTATTTAAGTGTCATAAAGAACATTAGCTAGTGGTTAGGGACTACAATATCCATTATATCATTCCAATCATGTGGACAAGTTTAGACTACATATGATTTACAATGGTCTTTCCGCTGTTAAAGTTGTTATATTCAGGTACAAGGTTTTATACGTGGTTGTATTTAGCAAAATCCAAGTGGCTGAGCACAGAGACGTCTTCCAATCAAAGTCCTAAAAATTAATGCTTTTACACGAACACTGTGGGTTACAGCGAGAGCAGTTCATGGCTCTCTGCCTACATCCTTTATCATGTCTCCACTGTTGTTAGTAAAATATACAGAACTACTTTATGCCAAAACAATGGAAGTTAATGCAGATAACTTGTTCCAAAGTTAACCATCAAATAAATCTTTTTTTTTTTTTTTTTTAAACTGTTAAGTGAAATGGTGTTCTAAAACTTTTAAAAATTGTCAAGATGATGAATACTGTGTGTGTAATACAAGTAAATACCACGGAATTGATTGCACACACACGTCTTAAATAAAGGATATTAAATAGTTTATTCCAGAGAGAGATCGGTGAAGTTTTATCTAATATTATTAGAAATTCTGCAATGATGGATCAGATTTATAAAGGCTGAAAACTAAGAAAACCTCTTCAGAAATAGAAATGGTGCATTGAGTGGATGGTTGGCCGGGAGGTTATAGACAGGCGGGGGGATACGGCCTGCCTAGATAGTCCGACCTCTCACACGTCAAGCAATTCTTCTTAATGGCAATGATTTTTCAAAATCTGTTAGTTAAATTTGATTTGGTAAACCAATCCTCTCAATTCAGTCACAGACTTGGTGGTTTAGAGCAAATCCCTTAGCCTGCTGCTTCTTCAGCTTTTCCTGTGCGTAAATGCGTAAAAGTATATCCTCACGGGTATGTGTCCCTACTTCAGAGGAGCCGCCATCAGCCAGTTTTAGGTCTATAATTCCGCTTAAATTTAACTGTTTAACTGTTAACGATTTAACTGTTAAGAGTATATATGTATGGAATTCAGCCACACTGAATTGATACTTCTATGCTCTGAGAATCCGAGGGTGGCTAAGTCGCCGAGATGGGAATGGTTTAACTCAGGCTCATTTGGGAACCTGTCTTGTTTGTAACATAGGTAACGGGTTTGGATGAGGCTCTTGAATGTGATTGAACTTTTTCTGATTGTATCTACAGAGCAGCTCCAACGAGTAATGGCAAGCAGTGGAAAAAAGGTAGATCTCGTAGGTGGTTTGGTCAGTGGCTTGAAAATGTAGATAAACATGAAAATAATATGCCAAGAGGCAGCAAGCCAAATCAAAGAATACACGTTACATGGAGTAGTTACGCAGTGTACTGACTTAGGAAAGGAGATTTAGGGGTTTGAAGAAAAATCCTCAAAGCAATTAGTCAAGAGTACAACTGCGGTTAAGCTCCCATAGTGCGTGTGTGTTTGTATTTTCGTAGTAATTTTGGAAAAAAAGGGTCTTTTTGCATTTAAGGTGCTTCGTTGCAGGGTAAAGTGGATGATTGCAGCATATAGGAATATTTGTTTTGGCAAAGAGGGAAGGGAGCAGTTTGTTCACAGCCCAGAAACAAGCTGTGACGGAGTAAAACTCTGAAGAAATGTGGAGGAGGTTTATAAAGTGGAGCAAGCATTGGCTTTAGTAAACAGTTCAACAGACAGGCTATAGTGTATAGACATTTGGAAATTAAAAGGAAACGGAAAATTTAAATGTCTCTACTTACGTGGAAGAACCATAATCATACTGAAAGGCATGTAAGTAAATAATAATTGGGTAAATTAACTTGAGGTACAGGCAGGCGTTTCGAGTGAGGATCCCGTGGTGGCCGTGCATGTAGTCCTCTTCGTGTTAATTTAGAAGAGTCGTATTTGAATGAAGGAGCTTCACTTGAGTGTTTCCTGGGCAAGGACCGTAATTCATGCCTACTTTAAATCAAATAGTAAAACTAGATCTGCATAAAATGTTACATTTCCTATATTACAAAAATGAGTTCAGTGGCCTCAATATAACTGTGCAAGTGCATCCTGCTGTTGGGAGGGGTTTTCTGCAGTGTCGACGAGTCTTGTCTGAACGTCAGATGGAAGAGCTGGTGGCGTCTAATATTGACTGTGGTACCTTGGGAAGGTCATAAACAGCTCTGCCTCAGTTTCCCCACCTTCGTGTTCATTACTTACACCTGTGAAAAAACAGGGAGGTGGTCGCTTTTATCCTGTGAATGGATGTGCAACTCAGTCCTTTTCTCCTAGGTGGGTTTGTTGGTTTTCTAATTTGTGATTAATTTTTTCAGTTGGTCATTATAGAAATCAGGCAAGGATAGTTGGGTAAGAAGACCCGCTTCCATGTTGTGGTACGTTTGGCCCACATTATTAGGCCACAAACAGTCTTTCTGCGTAAGCTTTCATTGACCTGTGATGAAGCAATTTGCTGGTCTCGGCCTAGATGTAGACAAGACTCATGTTAGATTGGCCACTGCTGCGTTTGACATTTGCTACCAATCTTAGCCATACTCCTGGCAAAAACGCCAGCTCTTTTCTGGCAGAATTGCCTTTTTACTTCCCAGAGATGTTTGCTTCATTTTATTTTAGCAGGCAAATAGGTTTGTTCTCCATGTTGATGAATGTGCTGTTAGCGGCAATGTGGTTCAGTGGAGACCTTTGGCTTCTCAGCCAGTGAGCCATAGGTTATTTTATTTCACAGGTACCATGTTCACTAAAATTACATATACAGTGTGTCATTTACTGAATGCTGGTGGAGTTGTTGCTTGGGTGGATGTAAAATATCAAACATGTTTTGTCTTCTCATTTGCTATTAATTCATTAACAATTACCAGGTGAAACTGAAATCCCGCAGAAACACAATATAGATTTTTCTTTTTTTTTCTTCTTCTTTTTTCTAACAGGTTCATGCCAGAACATAAGCTTGCCCATTTGGAAAAGGTAAATGGTGTTAAAAGAAATGGAGATGCTTATCAATTGGAGGGTCTGCCCGGCCCGCAGAAGAGCAGAGCTTCGGGAGCCTTAATGAAAACCAGCAACGCGCATCGCGAGTCTGGACTTTGTGAAGCCCAGCCTGGACTTTGTACCACACAGCACGAGGGGCTGCCTTCCCCACTAACAGCACCGGCGAGATTGAGCAAGTCTGAAGCATCAGAAAGTACAAATCCTTGTCAAGAAGAAGATAAGCAACATCTGACTTTTAACCTCTCTAATATCTTGAGTGGACAGGACTGTCAGCAAAGACCTTTACACGTTGCCTGGCCTCACAGGTG